TTGTTTTTTGGGATAATATTAAATCTACTAGGTATTTTGTGAGTATGTATTATTAGCTTGCTTTTACATTGTATTTTATATCTTTAGGAAGGCACTTTGTAAACCAGTCTATGACTGAAAGTTTAAACCTTCGTTAAATAAAGCTTTTATCATTATTATTATTATTATTATTATTTAAACATAGAGTTAAATATACTAGGTAGAGATCTATTGTGCCATAAATGTACAAATTTCAAGACGTGCAAGCGGTAGATATTTTGCAATGATAGAACATATCTAAAAGATTCATTAAAGGCTTAGCGCTTTCTGTGTCTTTGCCATAAAGGGTGGCGAAAAAAAAAAAAAAAAGAGTCTTATTACATGATTTTGCTTAGTTTGAACCTTTTGGAGATTTGTTTTGTACGTGCTACCCCATGCCATAATGGCATATGATATATATGGATGAATTAAATTATAATAGATTTGTTTAAGTTGTTTAAYGGAGAGGTAGTGCCTTAGTTTTGCTATTATTCCTGAATTACGGGATATACGAGTGCATATGTATGATATTWGATGTTTCCAGGACATGGAATCATCAAGCATCAMTCCTAAGTATTTGATACAGTTTTTCCTTTCAATAAGGATTTCCTTTCCATTGTTCATGGGGATTTTTAAATTAATTTGTTGGTCCTTTTTTCGTAGGGGCTTTATAATCATATAATTTGTTTTGGTTAAGTTTATAGATAGTTTGTTGGTGTCACACCATTCTTTGACTTTTATTAATTCAGTCATTAATTGTATTTTCTAATGTTTTCAGATCGCTTGCAGAAGCAAACATTTTTGTATCTTCCTCAAAAATTTTAAACTGGATTATATCCGAGCTTTGCGGAAGATCATTAGTATTGTATATTAAAAACAATAGGGGTCCAAGTACACTCCTCTGAGGTACACCACAAGTTATTCTTTGTTAAACCATCCTAAACCATTTTAATGGAAGACCTCTTATACCGTATTTCTCTAATTTTTGCAGTAATATTTGGTGGTTTACAGTATCGAAGGCTTTCGATAAGTTAAGAAAGACTCCGCATGTATAAAGACTGTTATCGAGAGACATTTTTAGATTATCTGTAATCTCAGCTATGGCTTGCGCCGTGGAGCGACCCTTTCTAAAACCAAATTGATAATCAAAAAGTATATTATGCTTTTCTTTATGACCAATAATTTGTTTGTTATACAAGTTTTTCAAATATTTGATTAAAAGTTAAGTAGAAATGGGGCGATAATTTCCTGGTTCAATTGAATTCCCTCCTTTATCAATCGGTGAGACTTTTGAGATCTTAAAACAGTCAGGAACAACACCCTGTAACAGGGAAAGATTAAATACCATTGATAATGGTTCAGATATTTCTTTACTCGCAGTCTTAATAATAGGAATTCCTATTGTTGATTTATTGAGCTTCAAGTTCAGTATTGTATCATGTACTTCTTCAGGCGTTATACCTCTAAACATAAACTATTTAGAAATGACTTTTTAATGTAACTTGTTGGGTTTACACCAGTCTCAGGAAGTTTGCCCGCTAGATCATGACCTACATTAATGAAATATGTGATCAAGAAAGAGTTAATAATTGTATTTATATGTATTGAATGTGAACCCTCAAAAGGACAGCAATATTCCGTACGAAAAGTATAACCTACTTATAGCTGCGAAAGAATTTGTTTAGTGCATGTTACTTTCAAATCATTCTCATTCAACATATCAGCTAGTATTTTGCTAAATTATCTTAGATCTATGTGAATTTAAGATAAAGATAGCACACAAGTTATAGTACATTAGTTAATTGTTTAACTATTTTTTCAGTTCAAATTGTCAAGAATATGCCATTAATGGTTGCAACCACATCACGGCCACATCAGCTCCGCTGTTAATCTATTTATCGTGTTTAAATAAATGCTATTATAATTATCATTATTAAAGGCATTTGAGGGCAAGATAGATATCCTACAACTAACTTAATTCCGTTAATTGCTGAACAGAGTCTAAAAGATTGTCTCAATATGCACATGCATCCTGATCGATCGTTGACAGTCGCGAAATTCAGTTCCAAGATACCTTTCCAAAATCTATTTTATAAAGCTTAACCTTTTTAAAAACATTAAGAATTATTTATACTAAAATTTTCTGAGTAAAAACTAGAAATATTTTAACAGTAGAGTTGAAAAATACGTACCAAAATGAAATGTAGCATTCTTGCGATGAGAAAGAAACAAGAAAGAATCAGAGTCAGCGGCTGTAAGAGTTTGCGCAAGCGCTATATTATCATTTACATTTTCACATAAGACTATGTTTTGTTCTGCATTTTGTTATCAATTAATACCTGATTTCTTCCAATGCTTCTAATCTTTTTCGGCACTCAGTCATTTTCTAGTGTACCACGATCATAATAGTCCTTTTCGCTGTTCTTTACTTCATCTGATCGATTTCTGCATTTGGACGCTTTATTTGAAATCCTTTTCTACGCATTTCTTTTGTTGTTGTCGTTGTTAAACTTTTCAGGGCCTCAGCGTTGCATAACTAGTTCGTCATCCCATCACGCTTTTGGCCGAAATTAAGTGAAAACTTTCGTTTACTTTTTCCTCGAAACGATGCTTGGCCGAGTCCATCTCGACCCTTCTCCTTCTTCGATTCCTATGTCGGAACAAATAAAAACCACAATAGTTATTCTTCATCTGATCTCCAGCAACCTAAAATCTAACGTTATACTCGAAAAATATTAAAAAGAAATTTGTTTACTTTTTCGACATCGTGCTGATAGCCGACAAGTCCATGCTCGTGAGTCATCGTCAAACGTTAGTACACATTTTTGGTTTTTACTTGATTGACTTCTTGAGAAACTTGGGTCTTTAATTCCTATTTCAAAAATTCAAAACGAAAAGTCACAGCAATAAAGTACCAACGACAAAGATTAAAGCAATTTAGATTTGGTGACTGAAATAATATGTACTTATTGACTGAGTGGGAGGGCCGTACGGGAAAATATTTGGCTCGAGGTCATGTCGTACGGACCGAGCGCAGCGAGGTCCGTACAAATGACCGAGAGCCAAATATTTTCCCGTACGGCCCGACCTAACTCAGTCAATAAGCATTTTATCATATG